CACAGGGAGTAACTCGCTCAGCACAGCTACCATTTAGAGAACACCTGGTATTTTTTTCACTCTATGCAAGGTATTCTCAAAAGCCTCCCCTCTCCACTTCTTCAAATTGCCCTCCTTGCATGTGGCCCATTGCGCGAGCAAAGTAACAGGTAGGCAGCTATGTAGTGAACATGTAGTGAACATTACAGAAAACATTCTAGCAGCTATGCTGCCCTGCACTGCCCCTATCTTATTTTGTGTTAAATAAGCCCTTGTGTTGACTACTTAGGTTATCTTATTTAGGAGGCATTTGGCAAGGGCAAAAACTGTACTAAGTGTGTACTAAGATCCTCCTTTTCTGCCAGCCTAAAGAAACCTAAAAGACTAGCAATAAATAAATGAATAAATAAACGGGCCATTTTATTTTAGGTCTGAATGTTCTGCAATAAAATCTTGTCTCTAACAGTATTTTCAAAATAGGTCTATAAGCCTTGCAGCTTTTAAATACTGTACATGTTTGCATATTTATTATATCTGTATTCTGTACAATTATAGGATAATATGTAGTAGCTCATATCTGAATATTGAAGTGCAATTACTGGAAAAAATGGAAAATGTAAAAACCAATGTTTCTCCAATAGCTTTGGGAATAACTATACAATTTTTAGACTTATTTAACACATTAAATCTAACGGCTTCTAAAGTATTACTAAACACACACACATACAATATATTTAGTCAAGATTTAAATATATTTACTGTCTTCCTTCTTTTTACAAGACCTTTTTTTCTGAATATTTAAAACTCAAAATCGTAAATGCCAGTTTAGGCTCTTTCCTGAAAGAATTTCACAGTAATAAATGTTAAACAGCATGCAATAATCCGCAAATGACTTGGATTTTTTTAAGATCTTCCAATGAACTATTTATTCCAAGTCTTACAAAAAAAAGTGCAAGCAGTCCATGTGGAAAATTAGCCTACAATAAAAATCACAGCAAACTCTTCCCTGACAACATGGCCTACTTTACTTTTGATATTCTTCAGTTATTTCCCTGCAGCAACTGCCCCCCGAGCCAGCTTACAATAATCATAAAAACTTTACTCGGCTCTCTAGAGCAACTGAGAACAACAGAATTAAAGCATCTATTTTACAACACTGTATTATTAAGTCACTAAAAGGTTCGATCGACCCAAAGGTTTTATGGAGAAAGAAGGAAAAGACGTAATTCCGCTCCTAGGAAACTATATCAACTTTTGGATAAGTAATAGGAACAATGCATAACATTTTACTGAAGAAGAAAAAAAGACAGCTTATAAATGAAACATTTATAGGTAGGAGTACAAAAAGTGCTTGTAAAACAGTGTTCAGGGTCTTTTCACTGCTCCATTTGTTGGAGATATGCAGAAATCACAGAAAAAAAACATTTAACAAAATATGCATTTCTGTACTGCAGTCTTTGCTAACTGCATGCTAAAAGACTTTGTATCCTTAAAGAAAAAAGTATGGTCCTATATAAAAGTTTATTGGTTTAAAGCAGTTTAAATCAATGAA